TTAAATATAGACACAGAATGGATTGCTCAACACTTTCAAAAGAGAAAAAAAAGTGTGATACATCTCTAAGAGGAATGAAGACTAAATACTTACAAAACTAGTGCAACTTAGTAGTTAGTACGAAGTCCTGGATACAATTATATGCAGGAAGGATATTCACAAAACGTTGCAAAGAATTCTGAACCACAACAGAAGAATAAAAACAATTACATAATTAGAACCACTTCCCAAACCCACATCCTTCTTATTTACAAGTATCATCCAAAGGACACTGTTTAGATGCAGGACCTTTAAGTTCTCAAATACAAAAATTATAACTCAGATTAGAACGAAAGGCCTTTGACTGTGAGGGTCTCTAACCCAATGTAAAAGACACTGAAACCACCTCCGGAAGACTTGCTATTAATTTGCACTTACACATTCATTCTACTACAGCAACGTACTGTCCCCAAGAACTGTGCTGACAGCACTGCGGTACTTAAGGGCACCAACTATTCTTCACATTTTAGGTTATTTGTAAAACAAACTTTCCCAATATTTCATCACACAGTCAGCAGTCCTGTATAAATGTTTGGATACAGCTGTACTAAATAAAAGGACACAGATCTGAAATGTCTCTAAAAGATCCTTCTAGAGACATAAAAGGTGCTTCCAGTAAGGAAACAGAAATAAATGAGCAGAGGAGCCGTGAACCCAAAGCTAAATTTGGGACTAAAGTCTTAAGAATCTTAATGTTAGGATTTTTTTTTCTCAGGAAATAAGGCCACAGACTCACTGGTTATTGTATTCATTTGTAATCTCCACATTTTATGCATAAACATCTATCTCACATTGCATCTGCAAGTTTTATTATTTTAAAACACTGGTATAACAACTATGAAACAAAGCCTGAGAATACAAATGACTAGACAAAAGATGCATTAGTTCCAAACCTATGAAGTCTTTCATTTGAATTCAGACTGGGCTGAGGTCTGTATGGTGTCTGCATGTCCTCCTCAAGTTCATGTGGGTTTTCTCTAGGTGTTTCAGTTTCCTTCACCCTTTTAAAAACATTCTGGCTGGGGTAGCTGGTGCCACCATGTGCCTGTTTATGCGTGTCCTAGTGCCCAGTGATGAACTAGTACCCAGCAAATGTGCTGTCCCACTTTGCACCCTATGCATCCTGGGAAGCTCTAAATTGCCATAACTCTTGCCATGACTAAGCAACTTTCTGATATAAGATTCAAGCATCACATGCAGTACCTTCAAAATGCATTCTCCCTTCGATTCACTGCTGTGTTGTGGATCTCGTTCTGTTCTTTATACAGTATTCACTACAAGACTAGTCTAAGCCTGTTTTCAATACAAGAAATGGAGATTGTCCTGTATGTTTACATGAGCATTAAAGTAAATCATTCATCAACAGGACACAGCAATTAATAATGTATGTGTGGTAGTCTGTCTTTTCTTTCCTTTCTCTTTCAAGCTTGCTGACTGTCAAAACTGCTGCAGTAATTGAGCTTTCAACCTAACCTACTGAGTCAACATCCACCCCCCACTTCTGACTTAAGGCCAAGATTTTGTCCCATGAGAGAAGCTTTCTTGTGGTTTACAAATAGGGTAGACTACAAATTAAATAGTATATTTTTTAAACTTGATTATATCAAAATACATAAACATGTACCATAAAATATCACAGGACACTGGTATTTGACATACAGTACAGTTGCTCACCACTGCTGTTCTCTAAAAACAGACTGACTGCTTATGATACCAACGAAAACACTGGCAAATCTGATTAAACAGTTTCACCATTTATTATTGTGAGCATTTCTCCATCTCTCCCGCTGTGCAACAAAACTAAACACAAAAGGTTGTTTTAGGCCGTTGTAACAGAAAGGTGTTTGTTTTCCCAAGCTTTCAGATTTGAAACGGCATGTCATTTCCTTGGAGAGTTTATTTTTTAAGGCTTTCATAGTACAACAGGTCTTTTTTAAGTAGTAACCAAAGTTGTATTTTTTTTCTTCCAACCAGTTAAGATTTAAAGTTGAACTAAAATCTTAGGTTCTTTTGCATTTGAATTAAAGCAATAAGCATTGTAAGGCGTCGACAATGTGGCAACAACAGGTGGTTAATGTTAAAGATAAAGGTTTTCACTCCTTTTAAGTAACTTAGGTAAAATAAATGCAAAGAACAGTCCTTAAGCTAAAATAATTAACAAATGATTCACTACATGACAGCATTTATGCTCTAGACACCTTTTATTCTTTTTATAATACTTTCTAGATATTTATCTCACAGTTTCAATTATCATTATTATTATTAAATGCACCGTAAGAAGTTTCTCATATTTAATGGCATCAACGTGACTATACAGTAGGTTATTGAAAGTTTATTGATTGTATCAGCCTGCCAGGGTACTGTGTTTTCCAGTTGGGCTCTATCAGTGTTTTATTCACAAACTGATGCTATTTTGCCTGTGACATACAGTACCAGCTGAAATGCATTGTGCTGACATTTGCATTGTTCAAGTCACTTGAAGAGGTAGAGGTACAATTTGTATGATGATGGAGGAAAGAGTCTCTTTAATTCTATGAATGTCCTTGTTGCAGACTGAGGAAAACCATGCTGCTCAGTGACATATTGACTAAGAAAACAGCTTTTCTGTTCCTGCTAGCCAATCTGTAAGAGCTGATTTTCTAGCAGGACAATGCAAGATCATACAGTTCTAGGATTACAACGACACATCTTCACTTAAAAAGAACACCCATATAGCATTGAAGTGAAAATATTTTTTGTTACAGTCAATCCAGCTGACTTGTTGTTTCAATTTTTCTCTGCCTTGCTTGTATTGATTCCGGCACAAAGTAAATGTCAACTAACACCTTTCATTTCTTTTCACCCAGTCTTTTGCTCTTGAAATGATTTCATCCTGCACTATTTGTTACTCTGGCATACTGGAGAATAAAAAAAATAAAACAGTGTAGTACTTAAAATGTCCTAAAAAGGTGTTTGTTGAAAGAGTGGTCATCAATTTGGCTTTTTTTAATTCTGCTGCTGAAATATACTGCAATTCTGAAAGTTATTTCCAGAACAGAGTTACTTGAGGAAAAAGAATGTGGAAAAAGTCTCCACATGTGAATAATAATGTACACTCTTGGCACAAAAGAAAGCCTTCTGAAGGTAATATATACAGTGATTCCAACTTCACGGAAACATTTTTTTCCATTTACAGGTGACTAGACGAAGGAAACATAGGACAATAATATCAATTATCCTACATCTCATATATCAGGGGAAACCAAATTGTTAACAGTTGTGTTTCAGCTGGTGCTTGTTCCAGGCTTGTATCTAGCTGCAAGGCAGCATAAACAGGATGATCAGATTGAGAGATGGATGATGGAAAATTGTGCGACAGCAGGTGAATATATAAAAAAAAACATATCCACAAACTTTGGTGAGCAAGAGTCCATTCTCCAAATAAATTAGACAAGACTGTGATTTTAATGTTCATTAGTCCCAGTGTATATTAGACTACACCACAGTCTACAGGAAGACAGTGAAACTTCACCATATGTTACTAATTTTTTTTCTTTTTAAAACACTTAATCATACCCACATTTTTCTCAAGTACTAGAAAAATACAGTTATATAAAGATAATTTCTACATTAATTAATTATACTGTCACCATTTACTTGGTTGACTCTACTGTATGTACAACCTGTCATCAAACACACTGAAGTCTCCAGGGTTCCATTATGTTTGTTTTCTTATGTTTCATAATCACTCATTACTCGTTTGTGCAGTATTTCTAAGCTTTTACTCTTAAAGTGGTGTTTTCCTACAGTATTTACTGTGTGAACTCTCTAATGGTCAAAACTACAAATATTAAATCACCTAACCTGCCTTTGATTCTAAATTATTCTTCAATTTAAAAAATAACAGTGTTGCTTCAAGGAGAGTATTTGCAGAAGCAGGACATTCAAAGGACATTCTCTCATTTCCTTGCACCTACTGTACCATGTTTTGTTATTAACGAAACTCAATACTGAACATGCTACACAGTCACGTATCCTTAATTTGTTAAAACCCAAACTGATATGTCACAAAAGAAAATTACAGATATTACAGGTGTAGAACTTGTTGGATCACTTTCACACTTACGCCAAATCATTGTTATTCTAAAATATCCAAATGTGATATTTTAAAACCTGAGTGGAAAACGTCTTTCTATGTATATATAACATTGCTTGGGCACTTGTGCAGGCTACATAACATTCTCTTTCATGAAATTCATTTTTTATATTACTCCTGAAGTAAACGAAATGGTCTTCCATTACCACAAGCATCTGTGATCCCGGGATGAAACACAGTGACTTAGACACAAAGGTAGCTTGTAATTGACACATCAAGAAGCTATAAAAAGATTGCCTGTTTTTGTTCGCAATTGGTTTTCTATCCAAAGCAGCAGTAGTTTTATGGAAGACGATACCTGAGCTCAAACTTCCCACTTCTAAAAAGGCAAAAGAGCCATGAGAAGCACCAGAGCTCCAACATTTGTGGCCGATCTCTGGGCAGGGAGCTAACTGAGCATGGGCAGGGTATCTTCCACTATCCACTGTACTAGGAGTCCCAGTACATTCACTTCCCAGGACAACATAACACAGGTGTTTTACTAAGAATTAACTGAAATTACACTGAACTACCCACAAGTGATGTGCTCATCAATAAAATCTGTAAAGCACAGTGGAGCACCACAATGCATTAACCCCTGTTTTTTTTTACCTGGAAACAGAATAAATTACTAGTACCGTTCCCAAAATCAATTATTTGTTTACTTATATAATGTACAGTCATCAACACATACATTTCCATAAACATTTCATCTCCGTCAAAGACAAAGGCTCCCACTTTCTGCAATACACATTAAAGTCATGAAATAACACTAAAAAGTGAGCAACACAATACAAGCAGACAAAATTGCCGTTAAACTGGGACTAAACTAAAGTAAATCACATACCTGAGACGAAAGCAGATTGCAGTCAATGTGAAGCCCCTTTCCAGTCTTCTGTCTTTGCAGCAGACCTGCCATTATTGCCCCGTGAGTGTACAGACCCGTAGCAAGATCTGTCATCGCCACACCTGGCCTGACTGGATCTCCATCCTGGAGCAAGAGGAAAATCTCTGGATCACTGCTAAGAAGACACATCTATCATCTACCTCAATCTGTGGTCTTAGTAGCAACAAGTGGTTTATTAACTTGTAGAGTAGAGTCTAGACAAACATGAATACTTGACCTTCATATACCACCTTCCTGTTTTTCCTCAACACCAAAGTAATATGACTTCACCCGGAGATCCCTCCTATTTCTACAGACTCTTGTACTGCTGTTGTCTCTCTTGGTTTCACACATACTGTACAGTATACTGTATTTGAACTACTCTTGTGCACCATTTATTCTACCACATTTTTCATTAAGAAAGAAAAGCTGAGCCCCTGAGACCCCATTTGACACGTCAGCCTGATACTCCAAAAATAAACGTCATATTTTCAGAGCCATAACCCTTGTAGCTTAATATGATGATGAAAAAAATGATTTTTTAATAAATCATTTATTTTATTTTGTTCAGAACAGATATATCTGCCTGAAACAGCCACAGTCTTGTTGGTAGTCACTTGGATATTTTGTATACTTCACATGAAGTACAAGATTAAAGCAGTCCCATACAATCTCCTACATAATTTCAAAACCTTTCTAGGCTAGGAATTAGTCTTAATGCTTATGTGACTGACTAAATTACATCTAACTAGTCTAACGTACAATATTAAGAGAGTTCAGGCACATACTTAGACTTTTCTGAAGTAGTTTTGTGCATTCAGATCATGGATACAACTTCTTTTTTTCAGCCAAAACAAAAAATGACACAATTGAGTAATTGAAATAATACTAGAAAGCCCTGGAGACCTCCAAGATCCTAAAGACACACTTAATCCAAGTCTTTGCACTGTTTGCACAATGAAAAAAAGACAGCTCCTTCATGAAGAGATGAATTTACAAGAAAATAAAGTTATACAGACAAGAAACTAGACTCCTTGTGATGACTGTTAGATCAGTCACTGAGTGAGAGAGCAAAGCAGTGTCCCATAACTCTCTGGAGGCATGAAAGACTGAACTCTTTGAAGTGCATTCCATTCCATATTATATTAATAATATTAAAGCATAATTTACAGTATATAGTATATCCTTTAGTGCCGATCTGCTGACAGTTTCTCTGGACTTAGGGTATGCTGATATTCTTCTGACATAATCCAAGGATGTTTGGAATATGGCAACTCATGCGAACCTGAGCCCTGACATTTTGACAGACTATACATCGCTTTCCTTACATGAATGCTATTATTGTAATGTCAATACTATATTGCTTTTAGATTATCTGTATTTCCCTGGATCCTTGTTGGATTCCATGCCAAAGGCTACACAGGCACAATGGATTATACTTAAACTCAAATGGAAGAGGGGAAAGCATCAAGTAAATCTGCAAGGGAGCGTCACAGAGAATAGAGAAGAAGAGATCCCAGTGGGGAAAACATCTAAGGACTAGACAATTAAACGCTTATGACTAAATGCCAGGAGCATTATGAGCAAAATGCAATGGATAGATGTCACCACAATAGTATTCAAAGATGCATGATGTAACTGGAATCACAGAAACATGACTAAAAGAAAGCAATGCTGTTAATCAATGCTGGGAGAGCATCATATTACAGTGTGACGGGAAAGATGGAAGGTGGAGGTTGAGGCGTAAAACTTTATATCAAAACCAGCATTCAGCCACACAAACTTGACCAAGATGAATCAAGGGACTCATAATGTGCATGAGTCAGACTTCTACAAAAAAAGGCAGATAGCAGTTATAGCACATCTTAACATTATAACACAATCTTATGATTTTATAATGAACGCATTGGGAAAGACCATCAAGAAAGTCAGCAGCTGAAACTGAACTGGTAATGATGGCTTCTTACTCTTACCTACTAGTGTGAATACCTGTGTTGATCTACAGTAGTTTTTACAGACAATGAGGACTAAGCAAGGAAAACATAAATGGGAGAACTCACAGCATATGTTTTAATCATATTTTAAAACTGTGCAGGTCTAAAACACAACTTCAGAATTTCAAGAAAGCAGAATGTCTCACAAACAGCTCACAAAAAGCATAACATACACAAAAACATGGATGACAATTTACTCTGTTTGAGTAAATGACTGAAGTATTGACATTTAGTTTAAATCTTTACAGAGGAAGAAACTGATAAAAAATACATTTGGCCAAGAAAAAATGGATTTGTAAATTAAGTATTACAGGTAAGGAAGCATACATTTTACAAGTATTAGGAGCATGTGACTAGCAGTGAAGGCCTTTCTCTCATGACCTCTATTGAGGTTATTTGTTGTTCAATGGTCCTGTTTTGTCTTACGTTTATGGATCCACAGTCTGTCCTTGTTTGTTGTGCCTCCATTTTGTATCAGGTTACAGAGCTGGGCCTTCACTTGGCTAAAATGGAGGCTGCTTGTCAATCAGGGGGCCTGGGGGAGGAGCCTAGGGTATGATGGTGGCACTGGTGGCGAGGAAGATAGTCTTGGATGCATCTTTTTTTTGTATTGTAAGTTAATAGAGGATATTTGTATTCTTATATTCTCTCTTTTTCTTACCATTTCTTAAATTACCTACCCTGAAGATCTGTTTATTTTTTTACTTAACTTTTTTTTGTTAAGTATTGGTTACTTTTCCTATGATCCTGTGGCCATCTGATTTATTTGTCAAGTGGTGGTGGTGGTATCACAGAGCACTTCCAACCTAACTGAAGGTACAGTAGAATACAAGTATTATTCATAGTTTGTAATCAAAACTCTTAAAAACCCAATTGACTGACTATGAAATTGCTCACGTAGCACCCATACACAAAATCACCCTAACCCAGTATGCACTTTGAAACATATCTTTACTACATAAGCTCATAGATTCAACCCAAGAAATATTAAAATTGTAAAAGATGTGAAATACAATTTAATTTTAAGATGAGGAAACAGAGCTTTAAGCACTTTTAAGCTTTTAAGAGCTTTTTCTTATGATCAAGAGGTGTTTATTTTGACATTGTTTTCATGATTTAGGCCATTTAGGAAAGCAATTAAAAGGCAATCAGATTGTGAGAATGGATAGATAAAATTGTAGATTTGTACAATACACTAGTAAGACCCCATTTAGAACATTCTATTTAAAATTATCTGTTACAAAAGAAATTCCTGATTCAGAGTATTGGTAATCATCAAAGGCATTGGCAACATCACTCAAAAGAATTTATTTCAGAATCAACAGTGACACAGGAACCAGGAGACCTAGGTGGAAGCTATTTCTAAGTGAGAATAGAAAGCATTTTTCCACTAAGTGTTCCAGACTTTACCTTGTTAAATGTGTTTCCACTTCAGTAAAATCATTACTTGAGTATTTCATTAAACAAAGACCTGATGTCATTCAAGGTGTTAAATATGTGGATTATTAATATAATTGATCAGTTTCAAAAATGGTCTATAATATGACTGACTTTAAAATAATCCACATTGAATTCTGTGTTGGCTCAAATGTATTTCTTTAATTTCTGCATCACTTTTCCCCAAGGACTTAAGCTGTCAAGAACATGTTTTCCTGAGACTAAACAGTGAACAAGGATTTAGTGTAGATCCAGAGATTATATTCAGAATACCACAGAACATTACTGAAAATGGAGGAATGTGTAACAACATTGGATTAATTTTAAGTGCATATGGGTTTTGACAGGATCAGCTGAAAAGACCATGATAAAATTGCTGTCTTATGTGTTTCAGAAAGACTATACCATAAACACTGGCCTTTCTACAAAAGCTGACCAAACTATGAAAACAATAGAAACAGTTTCTGAAATGACTTCTGCTCCATTCACACATGCGATCAGACCTAGCTGTCATCTCTTTTTCAACATGACAGAAAACAGAGGAGGAAAATTTAATATGCATCCGTGCGTACTCCAACACCCACATCTTTCCTTTTTTCCCCCAGATTTCACTGAAATCGCCATTATTTAAGAATACTTCTTTGTTCAGTATGAAGTAATTAAATAATTTTCTTAAAAACACAATAATTTGTCTAGTCAAAAGCACATTAGAAAGAAAAACAGTGCGAAGGACAAAAGCCAAAGATACAGAAGTGAATTACACCTCTTGATGCAGTAATAGCAGAGTGTAGTTTCCAACTAATACTGAATAAGAAGGGATACCAAAAGCCTTTTGAAATGGAGAATACACTTTAGCACATCGGTTCTTGACTTTTTTTTTTCAGAGAAAACTGGGGATCCTCTGAAATTGTACCCAGTGTCCCTGGAAACATGGGTACTATGTCAAATTAGTACTCAGAGATAGTGTAGCAGAACAATGAAATCTGAATTGACCTTTCAGTGACCTGAAATTCAAAATTAATATTATATAAGCAGAAACATTCTGAATAAACTGAGATTTGAGCGCCCTGAGATTAAGGGGCATCCTGTCCAGGTTTTTACCCACTGTTTGCCGGGGCAGAGGCCTGAAGAGGATGAAGCAGATAGAAAATGGATTGAATATATAAGTTCATTTAATTTCTGTTCATATTTGGAGGGTCTTTACTGAAAAAATATTTCTTGAAAAGGGTTTCAACAGGCTAAGAGAGACTAGAATAATGGAAAGTTGTACTTTCACATTTGGTTTACTGTTAAAACTTAAATACATTAAATTGAAAAGAAGTTTAAAAAACCTGCCTGAGTCGGGCATTCTGACAATGTCCCAGGTTGCGCTTCTTTGGATTGTTTCCAGACCAGACTTTTTTTTGTGAAAAGTGTGACAACATTCCCAAGTAAATCTTACAAAGCGAATCTTACAATTTCAACACTTCTACACCTATAAATATATGTGTGTCTAAATGGGTTGGTGTACAATAAAAATACCTGGTAATTCCAAACATGTCATTATTTTTATTACATATAATGACCCCCACATTTAGACTAATCCTAAATGAGTAAGAATAACAGGTTTTGACATTAATGCAATGGCTGCTTCTGTCACCTGACCAGGCTAGTCAAGGGCAAGGAATTCAGAAGATGGTTAAAATGCAGACGGTTTTTACTAACAATGTTTATGGGGAAAAATGACAGAGTATTAACTATTTTAGAAAATTGTGCAAAGTGAAATTTCAGCTTTGTAAACGTTTGCCAGGTTCTGGTTTATGACTTATCTCTTATTTTTCAGAGGAAGAGTCAGTACAGAATCATTATCCCTGAGGAGAAACAGCATTTAGAAATAGAAAGAATATACGTTGTAATGCCATGGAGCTGTAAACTGAATTCCAGTAAAGTAGAAATGGTGAGATTGCTAGTTTATATTCTGAAGCACTTTTGAAAACCACCACAAAGCATTTCATAAGAAATAAAAAGCTCATGTCACCATAAAAGTAAAATTAAAATTGGAAAGTTGCTATATGAAAACAAATTAAACAGAAGAAAAATCAATAACAAAAAACAAGGTATGTGTTCACGCCAGTTAACAAAAATATCCCATGTGTTTGAATCCTTGATTTGTTTATGGTTGGATTTCCAGAGATTTGTGGTATAGCAACAAAATATACTGTCGCCAACAGAGTGCAGACGAACAACAGGATTATATAGCGAAGCAGAATGAACTCAGTAAAGGTTGTACACTATGGAGGGGAGTAAACAGATACTGTACCAGCTATATACTAAGGTACCAAGCAAATGTAAAAGCAACTCAAACTCAAAGACACTGGTGCAAGAACTTCCAAGACAGGTGTGATGTCCACTTGGGTATGAATTCTGAATATATTGTGTCCGGTTAGTTCTCATGCAAATGGTACATTACAATAATGAATCCATGAAAAACATGAACAGGACACACAGTAGATCATATAGCAAACAAGTTGACATTGTTTCTGGTATGGAATACTGGATACAATATTCTCTACATGAGGTTTAAAAGTCAATCCAGATTTTAAAATCATACCCAATTTCTTCATACAAAAATGACAGTACCAGGGTGAACATGTACCTCAGCACTGGAAACAGAAAGTTAAAATAAGATTTGGTTATTTACAAAGTAAAACAAAACACATGGACATACAGTACATGACAGTGACAACCATTGGACAATTAATATGTAATGATTTAGGTAAAAAGCTGGTTCCTGACACCAGCTGCTATTAACAATTCTATACAATATCTAAATGATAATGTACCTGTTGGCAAACTTAAAAATGACAAATATTTACTTACATTAACTCACAATGTTCATGGTTATATATAGATATTTACAATACTGTAAGTGGTAAATGGGACACAGAACTCCTGTTTCTTATCCTATAAATGGTCTTACAGTACTAAGTCTCTCTAGAAAAATTATACTAAACAAATAGAAACATAATTCCCTATTCAGAATTAATATATCACTAACAAATCAATCAGCATAAATCAGAGTTTTAATGAATTTAAAACAAACAGTGCCTCACTTAGCCTAGAGTTCAGTCTGTTTAGTGCACACATTACCTAGAAGTACAGTAATCTCAGAGTACTTATTGCTTTTGTTTCCTCACCTGTCTGCTACCATTTTCTCTCTGATTCTGTATACTAGTTTAGTTCTAGTTAAAAATTAGTACAATTCTTTGACCACCTCAATTCTTGGCCCTTGTGCCAGAATAAGATAAGCGGGCAGTTTTTGCAAAAACTCCCAAGGATGCTCACTTTTTTATCTAATGTAATAGAATACTTTTGAAGTAAAATTTAAACATTTGGATATTCCTGAGCAACTCAACTTTTTAAAGTGCCCTAGAATTATTGTACATTGCTGTAAGGATTACCTATGGAAAGAGGCAGAAATCCAAAATTATATCATTTGTGTTATAACAGTAAGATCTCTGTAAAAATACCAAGAAAACTGAATCATAGGTTTATGTTTTACATAAGGTTTGGTCATTTTTTCTGTCAGATCCAAAATATGTTCCTCCAGACACCTGACAGCGACCTTATGCAGTAAAAGTGTTTGGCAGATTGTGCTACAGTTGATAAAACACAGTTGGGATGGAGGGTGAAAGTAGAGCTTGTCCAGACTAGCTAGCCCAGCTCTGCTTGGGAAAACAAGCAAAAAGAAAATAAGAAAAACAAATACTAGAAAACAAGGCATAAGCCATTTTGGAATATTGATTTGTTTTTCATTTTGACCTGAGTATTTATCTTGTGAGCAGCAGGTCACATGTTACATTCATTTTGTATCTGTTTTTATGTTCGGTAATTTACACTTACTGTAGCTCACCGTGTGTTTAGCACACCAGTGCAATGTTTACAGCAGGGACTAAGCCCTTGCAGTCAAAGACGAAACGACTCAAAGTGAATACTGAAAATCCCAGCTAGCCGCTAACATCCTATGTAAAAATCAGGAAAAATAAGGTTTCACAGAGAGGACAGAATGCCCCCTTCCCAAACAAAAATAATAAATAAAATAACGTCAGGCCATAATCTCAAGAAAATGTCGCAATAGTCTGCCATTGGCTTTTAGCCCTTTTTAGAGGTGACAGTGTGAAATTCATAGGAAAGTGAAAGAGATGACAAGTGTGATCATTTATTAAATAAATTGTACCACAGTTATGAAACTGCTGAGGATAAAAATAGGGAACAGCAAACAATCTTGAGATTTAAAAATGAAAATCTAAGTTAATGCATGTTATACAGGCAGTTACATGGCAATTGACAAATCTACAAAAATTGTTAATCCTAAATGTCAGCTGTGCAGTTACTGTAGCATAAAAAAGACAGCCCATTGCAGGAATCTGTTTTTACAGTAAATGTAGATTCAATAGTTCCTGAGCATCTGAGCATCGAGAAGCAGCTCAAAAGAGAAGATTCACAAAGGTACCAGATAGTTAAGATGCTCTTATTACCTTAATCATTTCCAACAACCAGGATATAATTAAGGAAACAGATGTGACAGGAAACCGTGACCACAATATGTTACCTTTTCATATTGTTCATAAACAAACAGAAGGAAGAAAGCAGAATATATACATTGCAATAATGCAGTTTAACCATAACATTGCTACCGAAGTGTAACAAAAATGAACAAATCAGCTCTTAAAATGGGACCCAGAGACTGGCGCACTGCAGATGTAACACCAGTCAGGTGTACAGAACCGAACAAGGAAAGTACAGGCAAGTCTTACTTCAGTTATTAGTCAAGTAATGGAAATTATAGCAAAAGTATAACTCTAAAAATGCTGCCAAAACAATTGCATTTTAATATAATCGACATGGGTTTAGAAATAAAGGGCCTTGTTTCACTAATGTATTCGAATCAGTAACTACATTTGTCTATGTCCTCATCCAGAATGTGAAAAAGCAAAAAGAGAGGACTTTAAATCCAGGAAAACTATGCTGAAGTGCCTTCAACACGTAAGATCTCATTTACAATATAATGTTCAGTTCTTGTCACCATACCAAAGGAAAGATACAGTATTACAGCCTTAGAAATAGCTTACAGAAAAGCAACAATGATTCTTGTTCACAAGTGATTCATACAGGGGTGTATAAAGACAGGGTAACAAGCTAATCCTCTTCAGTCTGGATCACAAATATTGAGAAGAGGTTTGATCCAAGTACATAACGTCCAAAAAAGTATGGAGTCAGTCCAGGGGACTATTTCACACTCTGTAGTGAAACAGACAAATTACTCTTTACACAAACACTTCTTCCTTTTGTTTACAGCCTCTCTTAAAAATCTTATTTTAAAAAGTGATTTGTTGTTTTCAATACAATTTAAATAAATTAAAAACTTTATATTTCTGCCCTCATCAATAAAACTAAAACACTGGAATTAAAACAAAAAATTCAGAAAAGCAAGCAGATACTGACAACACATTTCAAAAGTTATATGTAACGTATATATTAGTGAACTAGTGCATTCAGATCACGTACGTGAGTGATCTTTATCTATTATATACACTACAACATTAGCATGAACACAATTATTAAAACAACGTTGCATACAGCGAACTGGCAAAAATATAGCATATGAACCACCTAGATATTGCTGTAAGGCAAAAATAAAAATACAGCTTGAAAATAGTTCTCTTTTTTTAAATACTGGGTTATACAGATTTTTTAAAGCTTTTTCTGGCTTTTTCAAGGTCTTGGAAATAAGACCCTGATGCACAGATTATGAATACACAGAAAACTGTTAATTCGCTGACAAGAGAGACTCCAAACGGTACTGAAATGCAACAGCAAATTCAGTTTTGTATTTACTAAGGCCGTAGGATCTAGCATACAGTTGCAGAGTAATTTACATTACATTCAGATGGTTACAATCTACAAGTAGATTCTTATTACATAGTGGATTGTGTACTGCTATGGACATCACAAACTTCAAAACAACAATTTAAATGCAAACAAAATGTCTCACCTCAGGACCAGTGATGTGCATGAGACCTGAGACTGCACAAGCTATTGAGTCATAGCCAGCTCTCTGGGACATCGGACCAGCTTGTCCATAACCTGTGAAAACAGAAAGTATGATAAATAGGAGTGTGCCACAATCGAAAGATTTGTCAATTTGTCATCAAACGTCACAAGACAGAAATGATCATTGAATTTCGCAATTGATTTTCCCCTAACACGTTTTCATAACGTTCCCATAGAGAAAGAAGATATTTCTCTAAATAAAAAAAAGGAAGCTGTAGAGTTGTTGTTTTTTCTGAAATTTCTTGAATGCCTTAGCATAATTCTCACTGCCTAGAGCAGAAATGATCAGCGGCCTCTGCTTTTTTCTAATTGCACCTTAGTTGTTAAAATGGAAGTGTTTGGGACTCAGTTGTGGACATGAATTTACATCACCATCCATTGGCCTCAAGAGTGACAAGACAATCCTCATTCCTTTCTTAATCACAATTTTTTTATTTAATCAATTCCTTTCACCTTATTTCCCTCAAAGTGAAGCAGTAATTCCATCACCTGAGCTCTCAAGACTTATTTGGACTGACTTCACCACAATAGAAATACAATACACATTTTTTTTAATATAGTAAGCAAAATAAACAATTAAAAAACAGCAGTAACTTCTTTTTGACTACAAAGACAAATAGATTAAAGAAGTAGTGACATTCAGTGCCTTGCAAAAGATTTTTTCCTCTTCTAGTGATGTCTCAATTTGTTGAATTACAAGTGTTGCATATTTATTTTTAACCCAACCGTCTTCCTTCAAATTGGTCAAGTGATGGAGAACATACAGTACTGTCTTACAATAGTAATAGAATTTTATGTAAAATTGTTTTTACAGAGATGCAGAGGAAAGCTTTTTCAAAGAGCTTTTATATTGGTTTATTATTATACTGCAGTACTTGTCATTAAATTTAAAATGAAAATGCTTTTTTCTACCTTTATTGCTCTGTGTACTGCATACTTTGAATAGTTCATGCTGAGTGGTGATTAAATTTGTCTGGCTGCCAGGAGTAATACATTTACTTGAATTGGGACAGATGGGAACCCTGTGCACTTTTTCACTGTTGTTAACCTCCTCTCCATGTTAGTGTTTTAAATAATTTATTATTTGTAATCTAACACCACTAATTACATACCAATGCATAGATTACACATATTTATAAAGTGAGTTTAGTTTAGAACAATATCAACATTAAAAATAATTTATGACACAATTAAGATTTGTATATATTTGTAACTCATATTTTATGTTACTGCTGTTCCCATTTGAATCAACATAGACAAAAGGGTTTTATGGATATATGTTTCCACATACGATGCTTATAAAACTTAATGTCGCAAGAAATTCAAGGAAATAAATGGATTCTGCAGTGTTTTGCATATAGGAAATACTCTACACACCATATGAGAAAATAAGGACTTTCTAGAATTAGTGCCTATACTTTTCAAACCAAAAAATAAAATAATGATGCCAGCAAACAGGGAAAGACTCTTTGCAGTTCATTAAAGTCATAGTCCTCTCCATAAAATCCCTCAATCTTTACTGCTCTAGCAATCGAAAGTTATAATAGAATTTGTTCTGTTTTTCAGACTAAGACCGGGTTTCGCTTCATAAATTTTCACACGGCAAAAACATTTTGTTTAACCACATCATTTAAAGGACAGGGCGTTAATGGGCACCATATGTTAGTGATGACTTGCCTTTTCAGCTCCACTTCAAACGCACCATAACTCATAGTAAGAAAAAAAAACTCCCCAGTGCTTCTGGGCAGTAAACTTCAAATCCCAGGCAACCTGAACATAAATGTAAAAAGCTAGAAAAAATTCTGTTTTGTATTACAACTAAAAAGAGCACACGGCTATTGATTTTGAGATCTAAATCTTATACCAAGTACGTGTCTCATAATAGGGAAAGCTGTGCCACAAAATCAACATCATTATTATTTTATGGAGTACTTTTCAAAGCTCTTGACATGAACATGGGGGGAACTCCATTTTAACTGGATGATATAAGACCCAGCTTTCAAACCTCTTTCTTAAGCTTAACACTTGTATATTTTATTTGAAAGACAAAAGTTTGAACATTTTCTTTAATGCTTTCACTTCCCTAACATTACCATTTTTAACTAGGCTGAAGCAACAGATTGGTTCCCTGTTGGGTTTTTTTTGCCTCTTTTTAATTTTGGTTAGCAAAAGTGAACTGAATTATAATCACCCAAGTTTGTGTGGGTGGGTGGCAGCTGAAAACTAACCTGGGACAGAAATGAACCCATCACACACAGTCAATATGCAAAGACAAGTAAAGCAATGCTCAACCGTAGTCACTTATTCTCACCCTCAATTTAGTCCTGCTTTTAGTGACAACTGAAAAACCCCAGTAGATCTCAACCTGAAGTCTATCTGGAAACTGGTTGCAGAAAACCAACAGTTGGAATACTGTATAATTGATGGGTTTTTTTCTGCCCTATATATAATAAAAAGTGTAGGAGCACATTGCCAAACATAATCATCATAACTGGTGGATCCTCATAGCCCTGGTGTTGTTATAATTTTATCCTGTGCATTATATGTAAGAGGACACTGCATTTCACAAACCTCTAATATCATGTACCATGTTGTCATTCAGGTACACAAAGTGTTTTGTCAGTGTTCTATTCAATTTAGTTATATTAGCAGTACTCCAATACAGTCTCCTACCACATACTACTAATATTACTAGAACAAATGTCACAAGTCCTAAAGGAGCATTACCAGTGAGACTGGTTGAAAAGTACAGTATTTGTATAGTACACAGCAAATTCCCAGTTTTACTGTAAAGGAAAAGTGCTATTTTAACAAGACAGAACTGCAGCTCTCCTTTGTTAATCAGACCAAGAAATTATATTTATATAAGTGTATGAAGCACAGACCTTTTCTACAGTGCATCTAGACTGAACTCACTGGCAGTAAAAGCATCACAAAGTTACAGGAATTCAGATGACAGATGACTGACCTGAGCTACACAAGGAATCATTATGTAGTTGCTCAGCTTGATGAGGTCTTTCTTGACTTCTAATCAATTAGTGACTCGCAATGCTCCTCTCACTGTGTACTCTGTATATTTATTTTCCAAAGGCACAACATTCTTTCTCTCAAGGCCAAAATGAAAAAAGATCACTGTTTGTACAATATATCTTGACTAATATAAACTCAACATTTATGGCAACATTTTAAAAGCCTTATTAAAGACTGGAATGTAAAACAATTAAAATGAATTTTAAAACCACCCCAAGTGGATTAAAAGCATTAGAGTATTGGTTAACAAAAGATGAAATCAAAATCAAGCCTGGTACCAATATGTTGTAGAATGCAGAGTACAGTATTAAAATTGCACCTCTGCGAATATAAAGCATTCCCTGTGAGAGGATTGTGGACATTCTTCTCTATTAAAATTCTGAAGTAAATACATGAAGTTTCAGCTTGTTTCCCAGTCCAATTCGATCAGACATGAACAAACAGAAGACATACTGCTTAGTTGTCCTTCAGAGAGGGGAGCTGCTAGGAAGTTAATGGTTTACTTTAAGTGTGAAATACAAGGAAGCCTAAAGATCAGTGGGGACAATTTCTTCACCCATCCCCAGCTTCAGTTCATCCCATAAAAAGACTAATGAAACTGAGCACAGCAAACGCTCAGATAAAGATGATTTTCCCTTTCTCAGCAGTCCAGCAGCCCTGCAGTCCATACTGACCTCTCAGATGATACACTAGACTAATAGCTACTACTACTAATATGTGACGGCTCCATTCCAGGACCTTTTAAATGTATTCACTGCAAACAATGCTGTATTCAATCCAAGGGAGACATTAGTAGCCTTTTTTGTTCTATTGCCATCCAAAATGAATTCGTCCAAGTCTGCATTCTGACATTAAACTTCATAATGGAGAAAACCTGCCTCTACTCCAATGGTGCCCCTGGACAAACACTTCAGACCCATTCCTGAATTTTCTATTAATTCTTCTGCATCAGAGCCATTAACAATTTTGAACAGACAGGTGCTGACGTGAAGATTTGATTTGTCTTTTTTCACTCGCATTCTGTTTTCCAGACATGCCTTTGACACTCCCTGGGGGTTGACGTTGCCTGTCCAGTACTTCCACTGCATGATCGTTTTTATCTACAGAAGCAAAGTAAAGGGTCTGACGTCCTCTATTCACGTTCCTTCTTTTAGGGGCTCTAGCAGCTGTTATATTTGGTATAAGGTTTCAAATATTGTAATCATTTTAAGGAACAATATTTACAACGAAACAAATGTAGCTTCCAAAAATCATAATTATTGTATGATTTCCCACTAATCATTAATGGTTTGCGGTACAAAATAAAAACCAGAGATAAGGAGTATTTTAAAAACCCTGAATTTCTAAAGATAATTAGGGTGCTCTTTGGGCAAAATATTATATCCATTATGGACAACAAGGATGGGATACTGGTGTTTCCCTCTGCATTTCGCTTGAGAGTTTTCCAACCAAACTGTGTTGTGGTGTTTTCTAATTTCCTGAAGTCAAAGTGCTGTGGAAATGCAGTTTTCCTTACTGCGCCGAGCAATTCATTTTCATTATTATGGGCTCTTTGCAAAGGCAACTGTGGAACTTGATGAACTTGTAAGAACTGATAATGAAATATCTGAATCACATGTACTGCCTCCAGGTAAATCCTGAAGGTTGTAATGAAGTGTTTTTCTAGTGCAGTGGCAATCACCAAAACAGTTTGTATATTTAACATGCAGTATATAAATTACTTAAAATATGAAAAGCACAATAAGGTTTTCAAATTGATACAATGGCCTTCCAAGTTTATAGTCACCAATAATTCAATTGAAATGTTATCAGATAAGCTTGTAAGAAAATTAAAAGCAAAATTTATAGTAGGACATTTTGGTTAAAAGGAGTATGTAATGAAATGCCACCACAATGCAGTCTCCTTTACACATTTGTTGGAGAATGTTAATAAATGTCCATTTTAATTGATAGTTTATGCTGATTCCTCATTTACTTTTACTTCAGTTCATTTCCAGATGTCCCCATAATTTTGAAGTCCAGTCAAAAATATATAAATATATGCTTTCATACACATATTTTGATATGTCTCTCTTGTCAAGAGACTTACATTTTATAGAGTTTAAAAACACATGCTTCCATAAACTGACACACTTTAAACTGTTTAGACTATCTTTGGACTTTCTAATTAGACTGCACTCAGCGCACGTCTGTTTTATTTAGAGACATTCCTGGGAGAACAATATATAGCTAGAAATTAATCTTTAACCTACTTTTTTACTAAAGCTCTGGTGTGGATCCAATCTAAGTTCTGAAGAACACTGTTTTACCAATTTAATATGGCCCTTAACACCAACCACAATTAAATAAACAGACATTCATAACACCAAATGTATTTCTGAGAACATTTCCTCTTTCTTTTTCCTGTAATTTACTAAAGCCCTTTGTCCTAAACTACAGTATAGAACCTCTATTTGCCAAAAAAACATAACAGGTGACAAGCAACAGTAATTGTACATTAGTAAGAGAACAAGTATGCTGTACCAAAGCCCGACCTTTTTAAAACAATGGCGATAATTAACTCACAAAAACTTAATCTTTTTTTAGATTAAAATATAGCCAATTTATACATATCTGTGGGGCACTTGGACAAATAGGTTGTATACAGTTCCACAAGGTTTGTCATGTGCCTCACTTAACATGGATGAATATGGATGTCATCCACTACAAAAATACCTTTGTTTACCAGAAGAACTGCAAAAGTGTTAATCACAGTGGGGTGTCCTGTCCAGGATGACTTACTACTGTGTGTACTGTATGATGTTTCAACTAGATATGTACAAGAAAACAAACAAGTAAGCACAATAAGATGAATTAATACAATTATGTAAGAATGATTATAAACTGAGTGGTTTCCAATAAACCCAGCACAATCTGGTTGTGTATTGTATTTGCTGTGCTAAACAAAAGTAAACAGTAAGAATTAAAAGAGCATTTATGACAATAGAAACACAAGTAAGTACCGCTGTGTTTAAATGCATTTATACTGTTACAAATACACCCCCCTTAACAAGATGCAGTTAATAACACTGAATATTTATACATTTATGTTGATAAAAAGTCAAATTTGCAAACCTGCATCTAAAAAGGAATTATACATTACTAATTCTTCTTCCAATAAGACCAGACGCAGAGTAATAATCTCCCTCTCATCTCAAGAGTTATGTTATCTTCATTGACCTGAAACTGGCTTCTTGTTGTGCTATATCACACTTCTCAAGACTATGTGTGTAAATACAATTTAAGATGAGACAGTACTGCTGTCTATGGAACAAATTGCAGTACTGGAGCTGTCAGGACAACACCAGTGTGGATCGTTATTACAGCTGGATCCTTCTCTGAACTCAAGTGTTTTTCAGTAACCCTTCTTTTTGGAATGCTGTGACCTTCAGGTGTACCTCTTTATCAAGTGTATGATTAATTAAAAGTGGATGATACACTCTAATTAATCAGTATAGACCATTAGGGGACTCAATTTGTTATTGTGAATATCAAGGTCAGTTTTCTTTCTGTCATAAATAAACTTTTTTTTCAGATGTACACTTAAACTTCGCCAATTAAACCAAAGGAAAAATCATTTTCAATATCAGTTTGGGACACAGAAGAATGTGTGGCTTCAGATTACAACGTGAGGCTTCTTCATCATTTTAATTTTGTGACTACTAACTCTTTTAAAAAAGAAGCAAAACCCTTGCTGTGTAGCCACTTTCATTTTAGGCTCATGCAAGCTACAGCATTTTTCACAGATTGTTTTATTTTTTTTTTACAAGGCAAGTCTGCAATATATGAAATTTGTTTTTAATGAGGCTGGTAATTAAAAGAACATTAAGAACATCAACAAGTTTAAAAACTGTTACACAGATGTACAGTATAATCAACACGCTTAGATGTAATTGTAAATTACAGCGCCCACCCACCGTCATCACCTTCTTCACTTCTTAAGCAACTGTAAAAATTGTTCCACAAAATAAAGCAACAAATTTAACCGTTATGTAGTAGTCTAATCCCATCCATGCTTTTTTCGCTTGTTTCAAAACCTTGAGGCCAAACTGAACCTGAAGAGTGTAATTCCTTCGACTTTCTTTGATGGAGCTAACTGAGGCTTCGTAAAAGCCTCTTACTTTACTAGCGATGCAAGACAAGATGCCTTGATTGACTGATTGCACTTCTGTGGAATGGAATTCCACAAGCAGAAAACGGCTCAGCTGATTGGCCCTGTGCTTAATTGGGACATTCCTCAGGAGTAGCAGCAGTCAGGTGCAGAGAGCAGGCTTCTCTGAATGTGGACCACCGGCCCGGAGGGGTTCTGCAAGCCAACAGTGACAGATCACAGAAACACACACTCCTAATCTAGTGAAGTGCTTACTCTGGCTCCCAAGTTGTTGCTCAGGGGTCGGCATTCATCACAGTTACAAAGGTCATCCAGGGTTTCGTGGGAATCACAAAGTGTTAGAGGAAAACTATACCTGTGATGGAACAGTACACAAGATGTGGCGCCAATGTTTGTACATCCTCATAGCCCAGTCCCATTTCACCAAGTTTGCCAGGAATATAGTTTTCCATTAGAACATCACAGACAGCAGCAAGCTGCAAGGGAGAAACACTTATTTTAATTCTGCAGTGGTGAGAATCATCCTTCTCTTCACTTTAGTAGGCAGTTTAACGTCATATCCATGGTTGATATCATGTGACATCCCCACAGTGTGGTAGGTCATGCCTTATCATCACTATTCTTGCTTAAAACAATTTTCTTAATTACAAACTGTACTTGGATAAAATTCCCCAGTTGAAAATTAGCTTTTAATGTTTTTTATAAAGTAATTCATGCAGTTCTGTAGCATGTGTCACATCTTTTTGATAAAAATCAATACAAGCTCTGTAAACAAAGCATAGAACGCTGCAGATGTAGACAGTCTGGTCTTTTTCCAAGATATGAAATGAGTGCCAGTGAAGGGCAAATATCACTACTTTCCTATTTTCAAGGATTGTGTCTTTATCCTCACCAGAAAACTACCAACCCATCAATTCACCCTAAAAATAAAGCAGATTATGAACTGGAGGAAACTATATTCTTAAAGCACAACCAGAATAAAACTATTATTTAGATTTCTAAAATGCAAATGCCACCTACAGTAATTTTAATATTGACCTTAATACTGTTGTGATTGATGGGGGTGGGGGGTAGATCTGAGCTGCAACAATGTTAGAAGTTTTTGTAAATAATCTGATAACATTAGTATTTTATAATGTTAATAACAATTTGAATGGTTAGTTACAAATGCATAATAGAGGCATCTTTCAATACAGGGAGAGCAGATGTTTAGTTTGATTGTCCTGCAAACCAAACAACCACACATTTTAATGTGAATGCTTGAACATGTTAAGAACATTTCTGGAAGGTATTTCAGAAAATCCCAAGAGTGTACACTTAACATGAATAGCTTGTACAGTATGTGTGTCTTTAAACAAACACAACAGGAGGCTGGGCATCTTAGTACTCTGCAACTTGAAATAGTCTTTGAAAATCTACGTAAATGGCTGAACCAAGAGATTCTATGAAAATGTTTCACCAGCACCTGAGCAAACCTCATACTAGTTAAGACCAACTTTGCCATTTTGTTTGTTCTTGTGTGCACTTCTATCCTTCTTTACTGCCTTGTAAGTAACGAATCACATTATGTTGGGGTTTTTTCATTAATAACCTTTGAGACACACACCTGGATGTCTGTCCACAACTAGTTTCACAATGTTAACAAGTGATACAAAACAGTATAGGTCTTCTAAACATACAACAATAAATATGTTACAGGACCTTGGTAAGCACATCTGTGATGCTGTGTAATAATAATTCACTGAACTGATTTTCTATTTTCCATAAGGGCAGTTAAACAGAGCTAGGAGAGAAGGTTTATGGAAAAAAACAAAACTTTATCGGGACAGTGTGAAGTTCATCCAACACTCATTACAACCATAATGACTGCTATGGGAGGCAGTTCAGCTTGGTCAAATAAAACAGCCTTAATGATCTTGTAAGACAACCATTTCCTGGCAATAATGCTTGTTTGGATTTCATCACAGAAACAGAAATATCTAATCACAACAATGTTTTTAATTCCGACACAAAACACAAGTACTTCCAGTCATACTTATTCTCCTGCAGTGGTCTCAAGAGATGCAGCCAAGTATATTCACTGCCAATCTAATCTGTCTTTCATTGCTCATGCCTTCTGAAACTGAATCCGTCTTCATTTTCCTTTCAATAGCGTGCATCATGTTACTTGTAAAGGATGTCTTCTTCATTTATACAGATGTCTACATATACAGATGTCTACAGGAACTGCATTTTTCATTATACAAAAAATATAAATGGATTTATTTTATATCACTAATCACACATGCTGAGATACCGTGTTTTCACTCATTTCTGGTTATGTAGACCAAGGAAATAGGTGTATAGACCTATGTTACATACATTCAGCAGCTACATATTTATCACCATACCTTACTTATCTTTTTCCATTTACATACTCCACTGAAATCACCCTTCACTCAGTCACTAACTCTCTGCTTGCTGCTTGTGCTACTTCTCTCTCCTTTTATTCTCCTTGACCTTTCTCCAAGTATTGAGCATCCTCCTCCGGACTTAATTTTTCCCTTTGCCTTTGGAATGCTCCTTCCATGGACTGTACTGCAGGTTTCTCTCTTTACCTTACCCTCTTTCCAAAGCAGTTCAATTGGTACACTTATTTCCTCTTATGAGTTTTCCTACCTCTCGAATGCAGATATGTTCCAATCCTTCTTTCAGTTCCATCTTATAACTACAAGATTTCCTCACAGATATCTAACTACCCAACCTAATGTGTGAAACTCAAACCTAATGTGTGAAAATGTGACTAGCTCTTCCTTCCTCATCCCGAAACCTCAAACTTAATGTGTGAAAATGTGACCAGCTCTTCCTTCTTCATCCCCAAACCTCAAACCTAATGTGTGAAAATGTGACCAGCTCTTCCTTCCTCATCCCCAAACCTCAAAACTAATGTGTGAAA